ATTTATCAGTGTTTGTCCAGGGTACCTCTTCTTGCCCTTCACATCGCGGGGATATAAGCAGTGCTTTTCATCACAGGCGACCGTCAAACTTCACCATTGTTCACGACGTCACTTTAGCCGGAGAGACGATCAGAATTAACCTGAGCTGCTCACAGGAGTGTATATCACCCTCCTCGTAGAATATTTTAGATGTAGCATAAGGGAGGATGGGATGATGTATATCTTTTATCCCATTTGACGAAGCGGCCACAATATTTCTCATTACCGAAACGTCCAAAGTAACAGTTGGTGTCTTTAATGGCTGCAAATCAAAGAAGTTCAAAATTTGTGTAATCTCGTGAAATCCTAGGTAAATTACAGGGTTAAACGAAACTGTATGATTTTTTATTCTTTTAGCATTGAGTCCATTCGTGAAGTTTGGAAGAAACTTCGAAACGAAAGCCCTGCACTTCTGGGAGAATTCGAGAAACTTCTAACTTCACTTGCCAAGGAGCTGACGCACTCGAAGACGGAATACGAAGGTCTGGAAGCAGCTCTGAAAAAGTATGTGAAAACGCGTGTTCTCCACTTTTACAGTCAACTTAAACCTATTCCACAAAAGTTTAACAATTCAGTGAATTGTATCCACGACGTTGCCTTCCGAAGACTGGGGCCTACAATGCCTGTGTTTGAGAGCATAACCTGACACTGATTAATAAGCTACTGAAACAGAAGTAGTTTGGTGCAGGAATCTTCTTATTGGGGATGAAAATACAGCAGTTGACGAATCGGAGGCGAACAATCTAGCAAGCATCATACCATCGGCCATGAATACAGCAGTTGTGGCCTCATAGCAACTGCATCCTATTAACATGAGAACCCTCGTGATACAATTCTCTTACCTGCTTCTGCTTCAGATGGTGCTTTTGAATATAACCGCGAAACCTCAGGCGGAGAAGAGTCATAGAGTGATAAATGTTGAACACTACTACTGCTCATCGACGTACGGTAAGAAAGCCGCATGAATGGCCTGGAACTCGTGCGGGAGGCTACGTTACTCGGGGCTCCCAGACTTGGGAGTTCTATTTAATGACTTCAATGTGACTGGGAGATCCCGCGCGTGTTCTATTTTCTAGAGGAGGAAATTGAACGCATCAGTCCTGCCCTGTCTTCCCTTATAAATTGTCGTTCAATAAAAAAATCGATGTTAAGGTTACCATAGAGGTGATGTGGCACACTGACTGAACTTACAGGTTGCCACCTTCTACGAGTGATACTGCACGAGCGACAATTTTTCTATAAAACTCATCCGCAACCCTTACTGGGTTTAACACAGTACCAGAGATGTTAAATGGCGTGTAGCCGAGTTGGTCAGCGCAATTTAGTGTAGTCCCAGATTAGAAACAGGTACCAGAATGGCTATAATTTAAGTGTTCGGTTCCCCCGACTGTCGTTTTGTGCTTCCATGGACCAATCAAAGTAATTAAAGCCTACCTGCGGTCTGCATACAATGCAAATTATGCACAACTACACCCATGTCTTCTCCGTACACTTTCCTCTTAGTTGGTCAATAGCTGTTGTGATCTGCATTGAGTGGGCGACCACTTTGCAGGAACTCCGTGTTAAGTCGATCTCTAACAACTTCAGAAAATGAGTTCTGTGTGGAGGTGTACTTACGTGGGCGTTTCCGTTGATCTAACCATGCCAATCCTGCCTAAACACCGTCAGTTAAAAGATAGTCACCTGACCTAGTAGTACTTCAAAGCTCGTCGTGCGGAACTGAAAGTTTGAAATAGGGATCGTCGTCGTGATACGATCATGTCAGAAAATGTCAAAGACGGCCATTCACCTCATGACTCGGAGTTGCACGTGCAGTTGCAATCGCGGCTGCCTGTACAATTCAGTGCATGCGTGGACAACGCAGTGGTCATGTCATTGACGTGCGTCTCACGCAAGAATGACCACACACATTGTTTACCCAGGTTTTTCTCGGTCTAGACACTGCGATTAATTGGCCTTTTATAACTCCCTCTCAGAAGTACGTCTAACCTTTGTAAAACAAAAGCACAGTGGATTCCCTATCTCATGAAACGTTAACCGAAAGTCTAAAATGTGTTTTCATTTAGAAAAGTTTACTCAACTTGAATTGTTATATTAAGAATCACACAGCCTAATCCCAAGACATTTCAGTCACGTCAGGATACCGGCTTTTGAGTGCTTACTGCTTACGAAAAGCATACTCTGTAAAAATGTCTACTTAAGTAGTATGTATTTGCTCATTTGCTTTCAACGCTTTCATAAATTAAGGTATATTTTTAGAAGGTTTGCACACAGATATTGTTTCCTGTACTCATATAGTAGAGAATTACATCTCATTTAACTTTTGAAATCGCAGAAAGAGCATATTTCTGTTATAAAACGTGTTTAATGAAGATATTTTTAGGACCATTAAAAGTCCATTCATAAGACATTGTAGCTGTCCATTTATGAGTAGCGCTACTAAGTATAGAACATGATCCCCATTGAGTGCAAACTATTATGAGCACTATGCGACACCTCCCTCATGACATAGAGAAATGTGTAAATTTCCTTAGATGAAATGTATATAGCGTCTAATTTAGGATGTCAGTATTACAAGGAGGATTAACAATTATTCGTCAAGTTAGAAATACTTCAAGTATTTGATTTGAATAAGATGTAATTTTCTATCAAATGCGTACAAGAAGCAATATTTTTGTGCCTGTCTTCCATAAAGATATTCTTTTATTTATAAGAGCACTGAAAATTAATGAGAAAAGTGCACACTACTTGAATAGTTATTCTTTTACAGAGTCGTTGTTTTGCAGGCAGCCGAAAAGAAGTTCGTTCAAAAGCCGGCATACTGATGTAACCTGGGATAAAGGCTACGCGATACTACTTAAACCACATCCTGGGAACCCCTTATGATCGGAAACACATGTGAAATTTTAGTCAACATTTCACAAAATAGGCCAACTGCTTTTCTTCTCCACACATGAGTGTTTTTTCTCCTGAACTTACTCGTGTGACATGAAATTTTGACCCCACTCCTTGATAGAATAATTTTAATATTCTGTAATCACCTTAAGACCAAATTTACAATTTGCAGTAAAAAGTACAGTTATCTGACCGACAATAAGTAACTTTACAGAAGTCTCGAAGCCAGTTACATGAGCTGCTTATAGCAGATTTATTAACTCCAAATTCGACAGTACGATAATTCTTGCTATATAACTCACTTAATAGCTCGACTGCCTTTGGTCTTAGTGGGTAAATTCCCTGTTACTATGGCAGTGAGTCTTTGTAAATTGAGGGCACGGCAATATCCCCCTGACACTACCAAGGCGAAAAATTGTTCCAGTACTGAAGTATCATGTATTAGAACTATTTAGTAAATATCGTACTGGGTCTGATGGTGTTTGGACTTCTCGTATATTAATAAAAAATATTCAGATTGTTTTGTAGATTTACAATGAACCAAGATGAAGCCATGAAGAAAACCGCATTTGACGTTGGAATAATCTTTTTAGTAAATCTGACAACGGATAATTCGTTCAGTTCTAAGGCTTATTGGAAAGTAAACGTCAAGATCGGTACCTAGAACGGAGTTTCCTGCCTAAACTGCCGTAGAAATAGATCAGCGCACACATCATTAACGGTACCCATTTTATTGCCCATAAGCTAAGCAGCCTTATAATCTGCCAAGACAAATGAACCTCGGTAAATTAATTTTAAGTTCACTAAGTCAGAAGATAAATTGGCGAACATACGTTTAGAAGAAGAGGATGCGATCACTGGAACCAGAGATCTATTTTCCTGTTGTTTTGGATGCCCTCGGGAATCCTTAATCATAGGTGATGGTAGCATAGTCATAGTCATGCGCAAACAAACATACATGGTAATGAAATAAATAATCTATGCTGGTTGGTGGAAAGTCAAGTGGGTGCCCCAACAACAAGCGCAATTTGTTAACTGGCACTAAATGCTATGACCAGGAATAATCATATCTTGTTATTTTTGTCGTCTGAGTTAATTTTTCCCAAAGATAAGCCTGAAATTTTATGTTCTCACAAAACCACTAATTCAAAATTCTGTATCATTTAGACGAATAAACGAACACGAGGAAGAGGTACGACATCTATACGAGGAAATGGAGACTCAGATAAAACAGGAACGCGAGAGGCTCCTCCTTCAGGTTGGTGTTTGTCCTTATTATGTTCCCTAAATTTTTTCGAGAATCTGCCTATAATATATGCTTACAATAGTAAATACATCTCGGAAAAACCACAGTTTGAGACGCAGTTTTAGGTGCATAATTGCGGAAGACAAATGTAACCATGTTCAAAGACAGTGGAATATGTAGATTTGCCTTGTGTGAAAGCTTTTCAAACGCCAATCGGATCCTGGAACACTGTGAAGAAAATTACGATCTCCTTTTTAGCGTAAACCTTCTTGAGTAATTTCTGATCGCGTTTGTTTTTAGTCTTACTAAGACCCTTCATGCCATGGGTTTGGTTTGCCTGGCACAAATTGTATACTGTTGTGCATTACTTTTCCAGGAAAAACAGAAAGAAAGGGAAATACGTGACAGTCTTGAGGGGAGGATCAAAGAAAAGGACAAACTTCTGAATGAAATTCTGCGGCAGCAGGAGGAGGTCGGCGAGCATTTTGATCTTCTTTCAACAATATGTACAAAATGAAAAGATGAGATTCTGGTGGTGGGCAGAATTTGTCTTATGCACGCGATTCACTCAGTTTTTTTAATTTCACGTGCAATAGTAATGACTGAAACCGATTGTAACCCATTTGCATATGTCAGGATAGTACTCGGGGAGAAAAAGTGATCGAGCCTGCGCTTGAGCTGCCGCAACGCGCGGGGGGCAGACAGCCGCGTGTTCTGATTGGCGTATGAACCACGGCTGCTAGCAGGGGGCCAGGCCG